TTCTGGGAGTTTTATTATTCTTGTGGTTTTAGTGCTTTCTTTTTATGATTCATTTTATTTTTGCTATTTTAACTTGTTTTAAGGTGCTCTGGGATCCTTCAGACTGGAACCTATTAAATCGTGGTAATAATAATATTTCCTAAGGCTACCCAATGAATTCCTGACATAGCTGAGACTTGAGCTGGCAAACATCCAGCTCCATAGTTCATGTACAGAACAACATCTCTGAAGTCATAATTGGAAGAGCACTGGATGGTAATTTGATTTTTCCAAATCCCTCTGTAAAGATATAACATGAACAAGAGTTCCAGAACATTGTGTTTTAGTAATACAACAGCCTTTCTGGAGAAGATTAGAAGTATGTAACTTTGTAATCTGTTTAACCCTGCATTGTAATTATGCAGTCATCCGGTAACCTTGGGTAAGTAATGGCTGCCTCTAGGCAGCAAATGATGAATATTACCTTTGCTTTGGTTAGAGTTAATGTAGTGTCATGAATATGGAATGCCCCACTGTGGCATGCTCCTGTTCACACCGAGTTTCCCAAGGGGAACAGTCATCTCCGTGCCTCTTCCAGTGTTAGTTGCTTCAGCACATTGGAAACTGCTTCTTCCAGGTGGCTTCTTCCAAGTCCGGGGTCAAGGGGTCCTCTCTGCACTGGCTGCAGGGAAGCAGCACGGGGGATCAGATGATCTCCAACTTCCCCTTCTGAGCTGAGGAGTGCTCTCTTCAAGCTCAGAAGAATTTTGCAAGCCACACTGTCTTCCTGGGGCCATAGGACTGTTCCCTGTGATGCTAGGCGCTGTTAACATGGAGGAAGGATGACATTATGCATTTTCACTTGAATGCAGCTGTGAAACTGCTATTGTGGATCAGCTCCTAGAAAGAGAACTCACCCATCAGTTCATCCCATGCCCAACGCAGTGTATTTCAGTGTCTGAGGCCGGCACATTTGACTGGAAGCTATGCCAACTGAAATAATATCAGGTGTATGTTCGCTTACATCAAGTATTCTCTAAATATCATGTACCGGAACATCATGGGAAGCTAACTTATACCATCTGACCCAGTATCACTAACACTGAATGGCAGCAGCTCTCTAGGTGTTTAGCTGCCCTACCTGGAAATGCCGAGGAGTTAGCCCGGCAAGAAACTTAGCACCTTCCACATACACGGCAGGGGCTCCACCACTGGACTGCGGTTCTTCCTCTGCTTCTGTCCCACTGCAGCCAGTGGAACTTCCTTTTCAGGACGGTGCTACCTGCTTTATCCCAGTTTCTGTTGAAGGACATCTCCTATGTGCATGGAAAGCTGCAAAATTACATGCTGGTAATCTGATAGAACCAGATTAATCAATTTACTGAGTGGGATTAGGGCACATCCAGTGCAAGTTTAGATGGAGAAAAAACCCTTGTATGACCTTGCCAGGCAGCAAGCCTATGCTAGAGATGCTGGGAGTGGTAGGTGCTTTCCAGGATAACTCCTTAATTGATTTTTCCGCTCCAATAAATCAGAACCCTCACAGGAGATTCAGTTCGCAGGACTCTGAATTCGTGTTTTGCCTTAAACTGAGTCAGTATTTCTGCTGAGCTGTTTGGATCAGGCAAGGTCCCTGTCCAGCCCTCCCTGGAGATGTTGGGCGAATGGATTGGGGGCCTTTCCCATGAAAATGCACTCTCTGCCCCTAGGCTCCAGCCTTTGTCTAGCTGTCGCCACCTACATTTCTGGGGAGTGATGCATAGCTGGTCACCTAATGCCCCAACTAAACCCAACGGTAGCAGCCTATTCAGAGGAAAGTGTCTCTAAAAATTACAAGGTCAAATGATTTCTATCCAGATATTTAGGTTTAACTGGATTATCAGGGTTAGTGCTGGACCTCTCTTATTCCCAAATCAGGCTTTTGTTACAGATTGATAACAAGGAGCAGCAGTAGGAGGAAAATAACTTTTGGCCAAAACACTGAAACAACGGATGTTTAAAAACTGCACTTTTGGGCTTAGCGCATAATGTCAAAGGCAGAAATTTTATATTTTTTGTGAGTTCTCTTACACACACACACACACACACACACACACAGAGAGAGAGAGAGAGAGAGAGAGAGAGAGAGAGAGAGAGAGAGAGAGAAGGGGGTATTAGTTTTTTTACATCGTATCTGGCAACAGATTTTAGAGCATTGTTGCAAAAGTTACTTGTTAAATACACAGCACAGACCAGGAGGCCGCTTCAGCAACTTCTGTTACAGATTCATACACTGTCAGTAAGAAGTCTAGCTAGCATTCTGCAGAAGGTGGAATCGGGCAGTGGCCGACTGAAAGCAAATCTCCCATTTAATTGGAATCAGTTCCGCCTCTCCAGCATGAATGTTTTCCTTGTCATAACCTTCCATGGTAAGATTGTATCTTGCAGCAGGGGTGTCTTGACTCATTACCTCCACTAACGGGCCTTTTTTTAAATAAGCCAATTGACTTTACTGATTAGGTCTGTACTGAGTAGCCCCTGCAGAATCAGAGCCTGTACCAGATCAGGAAAAAGATTTGCTGCAATTCATTGGATGAGGTTTATATTTAGTTTACTCTGCTGGGGATGGGGATGGGGGGGAGCAAGGGAAATATTATCCAGGTTGCATTTCCCTGTTATAATGTGCCCAGCTATTTAACATGGCAGACCCTGGATATCAGGGGTAGGGTTTGGTACTGAACAGGTCTGGGGATCAGCCCCCTGCCCTGCAAAAAACGCGCAAATTTGCTAATTTACATGTGCTAGAAAGAGAGAGAGAGAGAGAGAATTACTGTCTCCCAAAGGCACCTCTATTGGTAAAAGTGGATGCTTGGACAATACAGAGGAGAACATTTAATTTGGGGAGGGGGCGATCTCAGGCCCAAATGTGGATGGTGGCAGCAGGAGGTAAAGCACCTGTGGATATCAGCTATGTCCCTACCTGGAGGAGGGTTGCCTAGCAACAGTAACACATGCATTGGTTACTTCCCGGTTGAATTTCTGTAACGCGCTTTACGTGGGGCTGCCCTTGAAGACAGTCCGGATACTTCAGATGGTACAAAACAGAGCTGCCAGGATGCTGTCGGGGACTGGGTGTTATTCTCATATAACCCCAGTCCTTAATCAGCTCCATTGGCTTCCCTTCGAAGTCCGGGCTCAATTCAAGGTGCTGGTTATCACCTATAAAGCCCTAAGCGGCTTGGGACCAGGATACCTAAAGGAACTCCTTTTTCTCTATTTGCCCTCCTGCCCCTTGCGATCAGCAGCAGAAGCCCTCCTCTGGGAACCTTCTGTGAAAGATGTTAGGAGACAGAGTACCTGGAGGAGGGCCTTCTCTGTGGTGGCGCCCCGACTATGGAATGCGCTCCCCAGAGAGGTCCGCCTGGCGCCGTCATTATATATTTTTCAGCGCCAGGTTAAGACCTTTTTATTTAATCAATATTTGAATATGTATTAGTAGTAACTGGATTTTATTGTTTGTATTTTATTAACTACAGCCAGTGTGGAATAGTCTATTTATTTATTTTATTCTGATTTATGTTGTAAGCCGTCCAGAGACGCAAGTAATGGATGGCATACAAATTTGATAGATAGATAGATAGATAGATAGATAGATAGATAGATAGATAGATACAAAGCCTGATGATCCTGGTGGATCAGATGCTCTTCAGCGCCCCAGCAAGGACCCATGGACAGCAGGGCCATGGAGCAGATGGCCTCCTAGAATTCCAAATGAAAATTTCAAGGCTCTAGTCCCAATGGCCAGCCCCCACTTCCTCCTCAGCCAGAAAGGGCCCTGAACATTGTATTCATCTGGGAGGTATTTAACATGGGTTGAGTTCCAGAATATTGATGATGATGTTTTATGTACTTTATTGGTTGATGTTTTATAGATTTATGTATTTAAAGCATTTGTATACTGTTTGATTAGCATAATGTTCTCAAAAATGTTTACAAAATGTAATTAAAATATACAAAATACAACATTTTAAACAATTTAAAAGACTTGCCTGCCATAAAACATCTCTATACAATAACATTTAGCAGGCATATACAACAATAATGAACAATTGAATCGTATATTTATATGATTCAATAAATAATAACAACTAATCCACATGGACCAAACAATTTAAAAGCCAATATAAAACCAGAGGATCAACTATTAAAATGGCAGGAAAACAGACTTTTTAACCTGGCTTTGGAATATGTATAGCATTGGCAGCAAGCATATTTCCATGGGAAGCTGATTCCACAGGCTGGGTGCCACAGCCAAGAAGGTTTTTCCCCTCATAGTCACCCACTTTAGTTATTGAGTTATTCTGTTTTCCATGTTCTTTGAATGACAAAAAAACAAGATAAAAACAAATGAACAAGTGGCATCTTTGACAGAACAGGAGTAAGTCCCACAGAGCTTCTTCTGCATAGATGTATATTTGAGTGGACTGCACAAGAGTTTTGGGAGATACTCTGTAGATTCTGCTGTACACTGATAGTGCTGCTCTATTAGTGCTGCCTAAATACTCTATAGGTGTCTGTAAAACATTATTGCAAGGCTAGCAAGCAAACTGATACTGCAGGGCTTGGAAGCACAGATCAGGCAAAGATGAGAGTGACATCCAGGACAGTCACACGCCGAAACAGATGACGATTGAAGTGACTGTGTATTAAAGTTCAAGTAATTGAAAGTTACACAGCATATATAAAATGTTGCTTTCCATTCCACTTCTTTTCCCCATTTAACGTCCCACTGTGGTGTGGCCAGCAAATGGTGTGGAGCAGACCAGTGGAGGAGATGAGCCCGTACAAAGAGGCACTGGATCAGCTCTCTGTGCTGTGGGGCAAAGAAGCCAGGATCACCAGAGACAGCTAGCAGCTTTTGCCCACAGAGGGGGGGAAATTGGGGTTGCAAATCCAAGTGTGTATCAAGAATAACTATGACGTGTTAGGAAAAGTGCCTTGTCCATTGCTTCAGCCTCTACTTTATCTGTCCCGAAGTATGTCCTTTACTTTTCTGTATAAATGAATGTACGTATGCCTTTCATTCTCATGGGAGCGCAAAAAGCAATATATGGGGATTTTAACTTTGGGGAGCAGGAAGATTTGGTCTTTGAGCCTGGATAGCATAGGCTCTACTGAGTGGGACCTAGAAATTTTCCTTCGGGCTAATTTTTACTTTAGGGACCATCTCAAGGAAGTTTGATTTGTAATTTCTGAATCCACCTCAGCTACATATCAAGGGACTGTTGGGGACATTTTCTCATGTTATGCTGAATTTATGGAGGCGAATAGGCGTGATCCCACACTGACTTTATTGCCCCCTTCTAGGCATTCTGCTTATTATGTGCATGGATTATGCTGTAGGCATGTAAGATCCAGGCTTACACAAAGCTGAATAAGTAGAGATGGAAGATGCTATTACACTCAACCTCCCGCCACATATTTGACATAACATGCCAAAATGAAATTTGCTTATTAAATGCAATATTCATATATTCTGTCCCTCACTGCATACTATTATTGAAGAGAGGATTTAGAAGCTTAGTCCCGGCTGGCTGAAACCAACTGATTACTTTCCTACAATTAGCTGTGTTTCCAAATTTCTGTCAGGACAGTGTGTGGGCACTGACCAAGCACTTATCTGAACACACATCTGAAATGAGGGGAGGGTGATTCCAGGTACAGTAATGTGGTTTCCTGAGAAGCTCAGCATAGCTCCTCTTCTCCTCTCCTCTCCTCTCCTCTCCTCTCCTCTCCTCTCCTCTCCATGCCTGGATGTATATTTCTCTCTGCGTTTTACCCCAGCACTGGGATTAATGCAAGCAGATGGGTTGCAAAATACAATTAGGTTTCTAGACACTTGGATAATATAATAACATATAATCAACTCATATAAACCAATTAAATGGACTTGAAAATAGAAAAAAAAAAACGGTTAGGGGCTCTGAACAGCAGAGAAGCCTGAACCTCACAATAAATAAATAATCGTAATCATAAGATAATGCTGGGAACAATAGATGGCAAAAGAAGAAGGGGACAGGAGAGAATGAGGTGGCTAGATGGAGTCACTGAAGCAGTTCGTGTGAGCTTGAGTGGACTCGGGATCAACCCTGGGTGCTCTTTAGAAGGCCAGATACTGAAGATGAAACTCAAATACTTTGGCCACCTAATGAGAAGGAAGGACTCCCTGGAGAAGAGCCTAATGCTGGGAACAATAGATGGCAAAAGAAGGAGGGGACGGCAGAGGATGAGTTGGCTAGATGGAGTCACTGAAGCAGTTGGTGTGAGCTTAGGTGGACTCCGGGGGATGGTGGAGGACAGGAAGGCCTGGAGGAATGTTGTCCATGGGGTCGCAATGGGTCGGACATGACTTTGCAACTAACAACAACAACAAATCATAAGATGGCTCGTGTTATGATATTGTATGCTGCCCGGTAAGCAGTGGTATATAAACATATAGAATGAAAATAAGGTGGCTTTAGACATTAGTTGAATAGAAGGAAGGATAAGCAAATACAAATAGGCAGCAAGTTCTGTACTCCAGAACACAGATAATCTGCTTCTGCAAATTAGATCATTCCTGCAAACCATGGCAAGCAATCTAGATGTTGAAGTTAGTGTTGTTTTATGTAATTAATTCTTTGCTAGCCAAGTACCTGAAATGTGCACAAATTTTCCAGTTGTTGCTTGTTTCAGTTTAAATGTATCGAAACATTTTGGTTGCTATTTGAAATCTGTAGCGGCAGCCATCCGCCCTCACTATCCTACCCACATCCATAAGATCTAGTAAGGGAGAGAAAGAAAAGGACAGCAGTCGTGTGTGTGTGTGTGTGTGTGTGTGTGTGTGTGTGTGTGTGTGTGTGTGGGAGGAGGTGAAATAAAATTTGAAAGATACATCCCAAGCTGTGTGCGCTGCAGGAGGGTAGGTTCTTCGACTAAGTTACAGTAGAGGACACGCCAATCACTGAATTCCATTTACAATGAACATAGATGTCCGAGCCTGTGATTGCCTGTATCATCTTGCTTCTGTCGGCCATGAACCTTTTGCCCGTCGCTGCAGCCTGAGACATGCTAGACAGGGGCTAGAGTGGTGCCATCCAGAGTGCAGAGCACTTGGTAGTCAGAAATGCATGCAGAAGCCATGAGGGCAGAGCTCCGAGCTGATATCAGGGTTAATCTGATCACGACTCAACAGATGATCTCCAAAGCAGCCTCACAATACAACATCCCTGCTCTCTTCCCCACTGGCAACAATGCCTGATTCAATACCTGGCAAACTTTGCAGATGGTAGCAGGCTATAATTGCTATGAAGTCTGGCACTCTATTAGAGTCATTACGTGCAGGACATTGTAAAATGAATCCTGTTAAAATCACAGCTGCGGGGAATACACAACTGGCAACAAAGTCACTGGCCCTTATTAGACAAAGAACTTGGCCGGTTCATCATTGATCATTGTTTTAGCTTTGATGGTGCCCCACTTGGCTTAAGAACATACCTTAGACCCCTTTTTCTTCCTTACACATGCCAAATATTGGATCTGGTGAAGTCAGCTCTAGTCCATGAAAGCTTATGACACAATCACTGGGATTTGTGACACAGCAACCCCTGATGGGTTGTCGTACTATAGAAACCCAGTCTGATTCCCATACAGTGTTTTGTTGGAGGGCGACAAGTCACCCTGACAATAGATGTGTTGATGTAGGAGTTGCTGTGCCAACAATGCATTATTGTGTTGTCCAGACCTGGGCAACTGAACCTGTCACGGGTACCAGTAACTAAGTCACTCAGCAATGGTGGCAATAACCCCTTGCTGCTGTGGTCAGATTTGCACTGGCACCTGCAAATTCCAGCAACCCCAAATTGCAAGAAACGTAAATGCATAGTTAAATATAAGCATGGTTTTCTTCCCCACCCCCAAGAAGTTTTCAGCCCTTTCTAAATCCCACTTTAATCATGGGAGTTTACTTTTGACAGCTTTCAAGAGTACCTGCATCTATAAAAGTGGAGGTTCACATTTTTGCATGCTCTCAGGGTGGTAGTATTTGGAAACAAGTACAAAAAGTGAGGGAATCCTTAGGACATATGGGTCAAAACAGAAACAAGGGGTTTCTGTTTGGGTTTGCCCAAAAGGGGTGAATGAGTTCCTAACACACTTTTGTGTGCTAAGATCACTCTTGCTTTTGTTACATTTGACAGCTTGCTGATCCTGCACCCACTCAACACCAGACGCTTGCAGTTCTGCAAGTTCCTGCAAAAATAAATATTTTTGCAAAGTTCTGCAAAAACTAGGAAGGAAAAAGCATTAAAATGTTGGCAACAATGCCAGCCCCCCCTAGGTGCCACTGGAACACTTTGAAGCAACTGTCTGCGCTTGTCAGAATGGGAATTATACAAGCCAGCTTGACAGCCAGATTTCATGATCTGCAGGAAAAAATGGGGGCAGCAAGGAGTGGGTAGACAACTCAGTCCCCTTGAAGTTCCCCGAGATAGTCACCAACAACCTACAGGGAGCCAGATAGTCTGTTGGGTGCACTGCACATTGCTCACACAACATCCACCCACCAAGGATTATTGGCTGGAGAGGTTGGCATGATAGGCGAACTCGCCCAGTAAATCTTTGGATGTTAAAGTGCCTTTGTTGTTTTTGCTGTAGAATCAAAAATCCGCTATACCTACTTCTGAGTAGAGATGCTCTGTTAGGCTGCAATCCTGTACATGCTTACAGAAATAAATGCACTTAGGGTTGTGTTCTTGCATGGCTACCCCTCTGGTGGCAATGCCATTCTGTTACTGTATGTATTTAAAAAAATATTTATGTGACAAAAACATATTTAACACTCTAAACATATGTATGTCTATTGAATTTGAGCTAAACAAGCTGTGGAATTAAGTAAACAAGTTGTGGAATTAAGCCTTACAGCACGATCCTGTGCAGATTTACCGAGAAGAAAGTTTAGCCATTTGACTTTTACAATGCTTGATACACAAAGAATTCTGGAAGGGTTTCACACTACATACACACATTCAGACATGTGGTTTTATAGTGCACTGTGCGCGCGCGCATGTATAAATAACGGTATAAAGCATGATAAAAACAAAAACAATAAAAACAAGTTCTGGGAATTCTGTTTGCAATTAAATATCCATAGGGCAGCTGTAAGCAACATCCTGCATACATGGAAATAACATAAAATAAAGGTGAATGATTTTATATTTTGCATACCTTGTAGCAAGATGGTTTGGTTAAAGAACTAAAGGTTGGCATGGGGGAGGGTGATGCTACTTGTCTCTGACTGGTAGGGGGAGAATGCCCACTGGATTACCAGCAGAGCAACATCCTTTCATTGGCGCTGTGCAGATATTTAATAGTTGTTTGTGTACATGCACACATGAAAAGGCATGTTCTGATTCAGAGATTTGTGCTGTTTCGTGCTTTTCCTGGGCAGTTTTGTTATTAGTTATTGACAAAAGACTGGAGTAAAACCTTTTCATGGCATGCATCACTGATAACAACAAAACATAAGGGTGCTCTGGGAAAGCCTGCAATCCACATTGAACATACAGCTTTGCAAATGAAATGCTTGTTTGTGAAATTTCCTTTGGTGATTAGAATAGCTTCTGGGTAACCGAGCTGAGATGTGTTTGTCATCTGGAAGACAGCTGCTTCTTTCCCCCTCCACCCACAGGTCGCCATGTGCCTCAAACGGTACAAGCTGGAGTAGAGAGGAAGGCTGCGGACACTGTGTGTTTATATGCACATGTATGCAACATATATGTATGCTATGTGTGGACATGTAACCAGAATACCCGACCTTACTGCAAGGCTACCCATCACTGTTTACTTTCACTAATGCTCTTCATTGATTTTTCTTCCAGATTTTCATATTTCCATAAAATACATAGTCCCTTAGAAGTTTGATCTGTCCGCTGTTGCTTTTATTATACTTTGAGAGACTGATTTTTATAGTTTGGTAACACAATAACATTTTTCCTAGAAAGACTCCTCAAAATAGGATTTGGGGGTTTGGGAGTGTAACCAAATAAATACAATAATTTCTGAAGCTTTATTTAATTTTTGTCCTTGGGGTTTTCTGAACATGACTTCTGCAAAAGTAGGCATACTTTTGCCATCTAAGAAGAATTGATAATACTACCACCCAGTGGTAGAATTTTAGCAATGCCTGATGTTTATGAACGAATACCGTTGTACTTGGAAGAGGAGGAAAAGGGTGTCAACTTGCATCAGCAGTGTAAACTAGATATGATCCGAGAGATTTACCATTAGGATCCCTGGGTGGGTCGGGGGGTAAACAATCGTTGTAAAAATAACGTATACATCTAGACAAGTCTGCATCATTCCTATTCAGAATTTGCTTTGTGATCATAATTTACTAATGACAGAAATCAATTGTTTTCAGTTGAATATGCAGACATATAATACTTGAGGGTCTGACACCAGATCTGAGCTTTGCTTTATATTATTTCAGGAACTGCAGTAGGATAATCTTACAAATACATTTTGTTAAGAGGTAAGGGACAGTCTAAGTTCTGTTTTCACATCTGCTCAGAAAGAGTTATATAATCCACTTAGAGGACTCTCAAGCCAATATAGTGGAATATAAGTTTAATAATAAATAAATATTCCCAAAAATGGAATTAGGAATTCAGCCTTTATTCAATTAATCCATTAATCTGTTTTTAAAACCATTTGAATCAATTAAAAGGTGCCCAGGAAGGATTACCAAGCTGCATATTTTGAATTTTAATATGCGATAAGGTTGCACTCACATGGTCCCCAGGATCCCAGGTATAAGAGGACAGACTAGATTTGCCCCACGATCTCTCAAAGGGAAGATTCCTTGGGATGCCTTCTCCCAGGCCTCCTGCAAGTGTTGCCTAACATCAGAATAACATGGAAGGCTTAGGAGCTGCATTGTAGGTGGATCAGGGGAAGTTCTTAGCCCCTTAACCTCTGACACTGAAGCGGGGGATCGGGACTGCGTACGACATTAGCCTGAAACAGGAAGGAAGGATGGAGAAAGCTCATCGTTCCTTCTGCCCTGCAGGTACAAGCCGACTGCCTCATTAGATGAGATGGTTCATCCACATTTTGATCTCCCCACAATCCCCCACAAAGATTGTTCTGTTAGTTTCTAAAGAAGCACTCTTTTCTTGCACATAACAGGAATGACTCTTCTAAAGTGATATCTCTACTTGACACTTAAAAGTTTATCATCAGAAAAACAAGTCCACTGCCCCCTTCTTATCTCCCAGTTACACTCTGGAAGTCTGAAGTCTTCCAGAGCAGCTTGGGAAGTGGGGGAAGAACTATTCTACAAGCAGTGTCCATATGCTTTTTGCTGTAGTTTTGCTTATTACATGTAAGTTTTCATAGAAGCCTGGCTAAAACTCGTGGCTGCCTACAGTTTCTTTAATTCAGTAGCAGCCCTAGCTGAAAGTGTACTATGGCTTCCTGGAATAATTTGCAAACTGTTTGGACCCTTCACTTGGATCTCAGTTATTTGCAGACGAAATCTGCTTTTATAAAGCCCAGTAGCTTTGTAGTACAATGAGAATTGTTGACCTTAGAATAACATCCAGAGGAGTATTCATTGTCATCATCCAGACACACTTTTCTTGTTCATCTTTTTTCAGTTACTCATGCATAAATGACTGATGTTTCCCTCATTGTTTTTAAAAATTGAGTCCACTTCATGTATAAGTTCCCTCGACAGATATAAACTCCCGGGGAAATGACACTTCTGCCCTTTTTTTCTACTTCAGTAAAGTCATTTTGACAGAGCCACCACAGATGCAAAAAGGCATCCCTCCACAAGTCTCTTAAACATGTGAGAATTGATCCTATTCCATTAGGACTTTGCATCCTTTGTTGGTAACTGCCGCTGTTCTGTTTCATATTTAATTTATTGTGATTTTGTATTTTGGTTTTCAATTATTATTTATGGCAGTTCATCTGTGTTTTGCGCATTGTCTCAGGTGTGGAAAACAAGCATGACCTAAAGGTGAATTCTAAATTAATTCCTCTGTCTACTTAAAAAATTGTGCTATTCTTAGGCTGCCTCTCCTAATCTCCTTTTTGCTCTTCCATGTCTGCAACAATCACTAGGAGTTGAAATGGTAAAGACCTAATTTTCAGGGATCCCTAGTTGCTTCTTTGTTGACCTTCAGAGTTCTGGAAATTGATAGCCTCAGATTAATACAACACAAAGCCTTTCACATTTATATCATTAGTTTCAGGATAGGCTAGTTAAGAATAAAGCATGAATTTCCATTATCATGTTTAGCACATTAAACAGCCTGACTGCACAGGAATGCAGGCAAAAACATGGGTGATCGATCATTACATTGTCGGGAAGAAAATGTACAATGAGTTTCATTAATCAAGCTAAGTCCAGCAAGAAATAATTTATTCAGGACACAATCCTATGGCCTCCCAACATAGACTGGGGTGGTAGCATAGGATCGTTCGGAGTCCCAGCTCCAAGTTCCTGTCACAAATCGACCCTGGAGAGGAGGAAGAGGAAGCAAGGAAAAGAAGAGGCTGAAGAATCTCCTTTCCTCCCCCTCTGCACCTTGCCATCTGGACAGCCAAAAATGCCCCTCAAGATGAAATGTAGAACAGGAGGCGTGGTGTCAGCGAAGATCCCCACTGCATCTTGCATCATGCAGTGGATGCACAGTCAACTGCTTGGGGAGATGGAGAAGGACCAACGGCAAAGGCGCTTCCCAGTACCATTTTAGATCATTTTGTTTCTACGGAGTCAATGCTTTTGCCCTCATATTTCGGTCTTTTTGCCTGATGGGAAGGCTGCACAAAAGCTAGACTACCCCAAAGGATCGGTGGCCTGGGGAAGCGGGTGGGGAAAGGGGCCGGAAGCATGGCTATCTGGAGACCCCTGGAAGGCAAAACTGCAGCCCCAGCAGGGCCAGATTCTGCCTTCAGGTCGGAGGTACTGTACCCGTGCCATAAAGAATTCCAGTCACCTGTTTACAGCCGCCTTTAAAATAGACTCAAGCAATGCCAATGGCTTGAGTCAAAGAACAGTGCAGCTTGGCCAACAGGAGATCGGGACATTTGCCAGGCCATAGTAGCTTGGAACACATGGAAATGGCAGCACCCGTCCTTACTAGGCAAAAGGAGAAGGTCTTGGTTTGCCACCAAAATCTGGCAGCAGAATACACTGCGGAAGTTCTGCCTCCAGTCACTGTGTTCCCCCTTTGCTTAGCTAATGACCTTGTGCTAATGCTAGTTAATGGTACTGCAGTATCATTAGCACTGGTGCTGTAACAGCAAGGGATACTTCCCTATGTCTTAGGCGTGGCGTGCGGGGAGGAAATTCAACTCTGTGATATGGCCATTATTGTAGTTTTGCTAGCTTTACTCTGCTTGCTCAAGAGCTGGTACAGGCACTTTCTGAGCTGATGATGACATACAGTTGTATTTAAAAACTGAAGTGAATACTTAATCACATAAAGATATGTATTCTTTAATTCTTAATTACATGCCATAATAATGCTGATTACACATAAATGCTTTGCAGCTTTACAAGCATGCTTGGTATCTGTGTCCTACAATAATATTCAAGCGTGATCTATGTATCTCATTGTTCAGGTGTTTGCATGCATGCACATGTATATTCTTTCCTCCTACCCCTTGATAATGAAATACTAACTGTTAAGAAAAAGGTAAGAAAGATAGTGCCTGTTGTTTAGGAATGGACTGTTGTAGCTACCTTTTCAAAAAGGAAGGAATAAATTGCTAATCAAGATATTGATGTCTTCTTGCACCATAAACTGATAAATTATTATAATAAATAAAGGGGGTAAAGCTAAAGAAAAAAGAACTATACATAGCCCAAATACTTCTTCAAGAAAGTGAGTGTGTCAATGTGAAGTTCTTTTTTAAATTATTATTGTGGGTTCTTCTTAGTCATTCATATAGAATGCTTCTCCTGTTGTGGCAGTATCACTTTATTTAGAGTTGGCATTTGTTTTTATTTTGTGTGCACAAACATTGATCCTCTTTTTCATCATGTGAAAATTGAAGTATTGTACTTCACTGGTCATTGCTCGTTCCTTTCTAAAAATAAGCTGAAGGGTTTGTTGTGAGCCTATTGGGGCAACTATGCTAAACCAATATTCATTATGGAAAAACATCAATAGTGTCCCCAGTGGAAGCACATTGATTAGTGGCTTGGGAAGTTCACACTGCGTCACAGTGAATTTTCCACCACCTTTCTGAAGTATATTTAGAAAAGAAAACAATTTTGATGCATCTCTTCGTTTGTGTATTGTAATGTCTATAAATAGACCCACTCAGATTCTGCTTGACAAACAGAGTTTAAATAGCCAATATAAGCTTGTTTATTAATGCAAACAGAGTATGGGGAGGGATCACATGGTTGATTAGAATTGGCAATAAAATTATAACAACCTTTTCAGTAAGGAAGTGATAGACGTCATTTACATCTGTGGCATGAGCTGATTGTGTACGTATATTCTGATGATGATGGTCTGGCATTTATATCTTCCCTTTTTCCCCTTACAAGGAATCCAAGGCAACTGACAAGACTCTCTTCCTCTTCCATTTTATCCTCACAGCAAACTTGGTTGAGAGTCTATGACTGGCCCAAAGTCACTCAGTGAGCTTCCTGGCTGACTGGGGCCTAGAACCCAAACTGCCTGTGTCCCAGTCCAACACTGTAACCACTATGCCACACTGCCTCCTGGAAGTAACTCTTGTTGAGTTCAGTGGGGATTACTCTCAGGTAAGTGGGTATAGGATTACAGCCTAAGATTGCCTTCAGGATAGGCTAGATGGAGCAACAAGGTTTTCAAAGTGAACAAGTTGGGATTTGGCTAAGGTTACCAGCTTGCTCTGATAAGAGTCCTAAGCTTTGTGTGCCTTAGGCAGATGAAGCCTTTCCCAACACAACAGTTCAGTGTGGGAAAAGTCTCACATACTGAATAATATACATCTTATTAGCTGCCAAAGGGAAGACAGCTTTCCGAGAAAGAGAGGGAAGTGGGAAACACGAGGCATAGAGCCAATCTAGAGGGTCGGTGCTCTTCTCTCTACCCCATTATCTGGTTAGGCACTTTATGCCTTTATTTGCTGCCAAATACAGGATCTCTCACTTAAATGAAAATCAGCACCCTTAACATTAAAACATGGTCAGCAAGTGTAAAAATTTGCAATGTCTTCAATTTGTAATTACATGGCCACCGCCAGATGTGGCAAAGGACACGATCCCTAGGTCTTTAAGGCTGCATTCCTACAACAGCTTACCTAGGAACATGCCCAAGTGAACTCATCTATAGGATCGCATTGTAAGTGTTGTGCAGAAGAGAGGATGTGGGTGGTTGCCGTTTTCTGCGATGCCGCAGCAAGCTGCCGGACTAGCCGGAATGGCCCAGTCTCCTGCACAGTTCTTGTGCTTGGCCCTTTTGTAGCCCGGTGGACCCACGGGATGGCCTCCCCGGGCACAGATCTGGGCCTGTTGACAAGTTCCCAATCTGGCTTGGATCATGCGCAGGCAGTGCCCGCTCCAGAGGCTCGCCGGATATCCTCGGTGGCCTCCCCACACAGTGAGTCTTCTTTCTTTCTCACCAGCACGGTCACCGGCTGCTGCTCCTGTGCCTCTTCTTTGTTGCTGGCACCGGTGTGCTCGCCAGGCAGAGAGCCCATCAGCAAGCAGGAAGTGACATCCACTGCTCCCCTCTCTTTGGATGACTTCAGGCAGGTGATCAGACAGTTTGTAGTGGCGATTCTGATCCAGGGGCGCCTTGCTGTAGGCACTCTCAGGTGCCCTGTGTGGAGGCACCAGCTGCATGAGCTGCTGTTGTCATGATTTTTAAAAGCTGTCACATATGTGGTCCCCACGTGAATGCGTTTGTGCACGCAGTGGGGTTGCTTCCACGCCATTCCAGTACTAGGACTGTGGAATGCTTTGCTCAAGGAACAGTGAAACGGCTGCGTTGGCATCTTTCCTCTGGCTGGACAGGAATTCTTTTCTCGAAAATGCAGTTGGAAGTAGTCCCAGGTGTTCAGTACAATTCTTTTAAACCTGTACCAGAATTATTTCCTCCGGGCAAAATCGGCATGTCCTCTTCTACTCCTGCTCCCTAGTTGCTTGAGCAGCTACTGAAAGAGACTTTATTTTATTTCAGAGGTTGAACATGAAAGTTGTTACCTATTTGGGCAATAAAAAGCACTTTTGCTATTGACAGATTACAATTTATCTGATGAACATATGCACCGGCTTCCTTTAAGAGATCTACATCATGAAGTTCTGTTTCTGCACTGTTTCCACCTGGGGCATACATCTGTATGGGAAGCATTGAACACAGGGTGGATAAAAATCAATGGTTTTTTTGTTTAAATTGGATTTTTAAAAATAAAAGGTTTTTTTGAGGAAAAATCTATTTAAAGATAGTTTTCCGTTTAAGACACATTATCACCCAAAGGTTATTCATCTTGAAATAAGGATTAGTTTTTAATTATGTAGTGTGAGGCAGTATATTCATGCAATATTTAAATTTTTTGGTAAATGAATTCCATTAATCCATTCACAATGTCATGCTCTTCCAGAAGTTTCTGTAAGATAATTGGCAATTTTTCCTATCTAGATGATGGACAGATGCTTGGTTTTATAATTCTCAAAACCGTGTCTGCAGAGGTCACATGCCTCTTCTTCACTGCAAAATTGTTATAAACATATAGAGTTGAGAAAAAAGCCATAATCCCATTGTTCCTTTGTAAATCTATGTGCACAGAATCAATCCCTTACCTCTTAAGTGCTATGTTTCAAAAAAAATCAATGAATAGAAGATTGCTGGGAGTGGAAATAGATCTGCACAAGAAGCTAAGTGTGAGGAGGAGGGGCAAGCAGGAAAAATGAAAGTGAGCAGAATACTCCACAAGTTTTTGGATCATTTCATGTATAACTTGAGGTTGATTATATTTTCTTTCCCTGGAGGATGACCATTTGCAGTCTAGAAAGGAGAGCAAAGGGCAAGCAGGTTGTCCTTGGGTGATTGAAAGATGTCTACTTTAGATGGGGTAGAGGAAGGGGCTCCAGAGAGTTCCGTTGGGCCAGACCTGATGGGGTTTGGAAGGTGCTTTGCTTATATCAGACCCATTAAATCGGGAAATTCTCTGCTTTTTTTGTCTGTCTTCAGTACTCATTTATTTGGCATGGCAGAGTTTTAAAACTGTGGTTGGTTGGCTGAACATTTAGGTCATGGGCCATGGCTCAGTGAGACAGCACGTGCTTTAACATGCAGAAGATTCTGGATTCGGTTCCTGGCATCATCAGTTAGCAGGTACAAGAAAGCCTTTGGCCTGCAAAACCTTCAGATTGCTGCTGCCAATCAGAATAGGAAGTCCTAGGCCAGACGGACTGACAGTCTAAACACCAGGCAGCTTAGCATAGTCAGTGTGATTCCCTTTGTGTGGAAAAAGATACCTGAATGTTTTGGGCAGGCAATGCGTGTGTGCAGAATTTAGCAGCAACTCGAGTCCTCCTGCGTCCTTAGAGATATAGCCAGCACTTTGTTTGCCTTGGTTCATTGTGTGACTATAACATGGGATTCTGCCATATTTAACAGCTCAGCCTTGTCTCCTCTTAGGGTACTACGTAATCTTCAGCAGTGTTTTAAACACAGATATTCTGTGCAGGTGGTAGGCTGGAGGGAAATCTTCCATCACCGCTACCCCATTGACGTCATGCCAGAATTACTGCTTGAGCAATAATGCCCAATGAGGCTGCTGGTGAGCTATGCATAAGGGCAAGTATGTCACTGTACTGGCCGGTGGCACTGCTGTGCCTGTCGTTGGCTTTTCATTGTTCGGATCTAATTAGAGAACACAGTAATTCAAAATCAATTCATTTCCTGCTGGTTAGTAACTAATTTGCCATCAGTGTGAATCAAGAGATTATTCCTGCAGGATAGAACTTTATTTAAAGCCACAATTACACCTGAAACCAGCTATGTGAACAGGCAATAAATAACCAGAAAGCAGAAGCTGTCTTTCAGCTACTTAAAACACTTGTTGTTTGTTAGTTGGTTAAGTAAAACAAGAAGTCATGTTTGTTTTTTAAAGCATGCAGATACCAAGGTTATGGGGATGGCAACTAGACCTGAACCCTGTGATTCTGCAAGAAAAGAAATGAACAGAAAAGAAAACTGCTGCACTTGCTATTACAAATGAAAAACAAAGGACCTGTGATTTTCCAGTGAATGAAATCTTTTAAGTTTTCTGAAGCACTGCAGGAAGCATTCCTCTGTGAGGTCATCCAGTGGCACTACTTTCTGTTCAAACTAAGGATCACAACTCTGTAATTTGCCCTGCTCACCTGGTTACAAATCTTTGAACATTATTTGCTGCTGTGCTGCTACTAGAAAATGCCTTTCGCCAAGCCTCAACCCCCAGAGAAGTCTCTAATGCTAACTCCTGTCTGGGACCAAAGATAATCATGGGGATGCTAACAGTGGGTGGAGCTGGAAACAATGCCAGGGGCCATAACATGATCTCCTGATGTCTTCTGGCACATGGAGGGCATGGTGGGGACAGTTTAGCACCCCACTTAAAACTGGTTGCTCACCACTGGTTCAAAGGGCAGCTTAGTCATTCTGATTGGTTCATAAATGTAAATCTTTTTGCATTACTATATGTAGAAGAATAATGACTAGTTTGCAAATACCTGCTTAGGATTTCACAAGTGGCTTTGCATGGGTCTTATGCAATGGCTTACTTAGTTACTGTGAATAACAGTTTCCTCATATCAAACATTTCTTTTGATTTTTCTCAGCTCCAGTAGCCTTCCACACAGGGGGAAGATGGGAAGCACCTGTTTAAAACAAACAAAAAACAAGCACAACTCTTGATTTCCTCCCTCCCCCACCTTGGGGACAAGGAACCAATTCTGCTTTAGGCCAGATCAAGTCCATTAGTTCTAAAGAAAAAATATTTCCTTTACAAGTATGTCTTAATTGGGTGAAGAGTCTGGTTTGGGTGCCCCCTGCTGGATTCTTGCTGAACATCAGAGGGCATCTCCATGTCTAAGGAGGCGCCAATCTTGATGCATTCCTCAGCATGAAGAAAGGGACTTCAGCTGTACTGGGCAGAGTGGCTCTTCCCAGCACTGACTGACTCAGGCACCCGTTTGCACACCATTCACCATCTCCATCAGGATGGCCGGCGAGTGGTTGATGAGCCAGCAGCCTGCGTCCTTGGCACCACGTCTCTCCAGAACCTCCTCCCAGCTCTGGCTGAGTCAGGAGCTTCCTAGCCTATCAGGTAGGCAAACAAATTTGACTGGCTCTGGGGAGAACAGCTCCTCCTGGCACCAGCCACACTGCGCCCCTCCTGCTGCCAACTCACACGTGCACATGCTCTGTCACTGGTCTGTGAGCAGGAATGATGGTACGGATGTCCCTTGAGGGCCGTTCCCCCTCCAAGTTGGGTGGGAAAGCACTGCACTCAGGGGAGCGCCCAGCATTTTTTTCATTCAGGCACCGGGGAGGATCCCTTCAGCAGGGATTCCTCCAGAAGGAGGGGACTGAAGAACAGATTAGGCGCACTGGAAGAGTTTTACCATCCCTGTTTTAGATGGTGCATGCACATGTCACAGGAGGAAATGCTTTGCAAGAGGCAACACTGGTGTGTGAGATAAGAAAATTATTCTTTGCAGATTTTGTTGTTTTTTAAAAAATCCGGCACTTCCTGCAAGGAGCTCGAGGTGTCCTTCGTGGCTATAAACCTGTCCCCATTCTATTGTCAGAAGAACCCTGTGAGGGAGATGAGATTGAGAGAGGGGGGCTGCTGGGAATGGGGAAGACAGTTGTTCTTGGCACGCATTTTCAAGGCCTCCTGGCTGGACTTCGAAGCAGGAGGAGGAAGAGCAGGAGGCAGCCTCTGAACTTGGGTTAGTTCCAGACACTAAGATGAAAGAAGTGGAGTTGCTTAGCTCAAGGCCAGGCTCCCTAGGCAGGCAAGCAGCTCTGAGAAGAACCGAGATGTAGTTAGTGGGGGAGGGCTTGGGACAGGGGAGCTCCTCCAAGGCAGACGGGGTTGGCATGGCTCTTGACCCCATGACACATTTTCATCAGAGAGGGGGCGGCCCAATTTGAGGATTGCCATACAGAGCAGAGGTGTGCTCATTTTCATCATGACCCAGGCATGCTTATAAGGAGAGTTCCTGGAGCTGGATACGAGGTTGGGTTCAACGAACTGCTCTGTGCATGCTCAAATTCAGTCTGAGGGTTGGTACTTCTGGAAAACGCTTTGGTCAATAAATAAGAAAGGTCCATGGCTTGGAATGTGCGAAGGGAGTGAACCTAGCTCACAGTAGTGGCTGACTCAAGATCAGAGAGCAAATTTCAGGGCCAAATCTGGGTTTTACGGATCCTAGTCCAACACTCTAACCCAGGGGTCAGGAAACCTATGGCCCTCCAGATGTTGTTGGACTCCAGTACCCATCGTTCCTGCCTCCTGGCCATGCTGGCTGGTGCTCCTGACTGCTGGAGCCAACAACATCTGGAGGCCCACTTGTTCTCTGCCTCTGCTCTAGCCACTGCACCATGCCAGCTCCTAGCATGGTGGCATCACATGCCCTGCTTTTTTATACGTGCTTATATTAAAGAACAATTCTGTCTTAACATCTGCTCTCCAGAAGGGCACATTTGTAACCCACAAGAATTTTCATAAGCAAATGCAATGCAGTGATCGTCATTATTTTTCAAGGAGGAGCTTCCTTGCTTCTAGGCGCACATTTCCAGGCCGTGAGGCCTTCTCCCTGTGTCTGGAAGCCTTTTGCGATCTTTCCTCCCCATTCCTCCAGGCAAGGGCTGGTGGACAAATTCTGATGAGCTCACTTGGTGCTGACATTGGGATAGAGTTTTTCCTCCTCGCTCTTCTCAGCTGTCTTCTGCTCAGCACTGCAAAATCTCCCAGGACAGGTACACATTGCTTGTGCATTCAGCTTTGCTTCCTTTTCCAGCATCCCTCCACTAAAGCAAGCAGTAAAGCAGAATCTTCTTAAAAATATACTTTCAAATGTTTTATTCAATTTTGGCAGAGAAAGCAGAACATTTTCTTGTGCACTTCTTTCTGGGCAGGAAGGTGAATTACTGGGTTAAGTGTCATCTCCAAACTTCCTGATGGTCTTGCAGTTCTTAAAGACAAAAATAAGGTGATCCTAGCTTAGTGCAGAGCAGGAGCCTGTAGCCTTCCAGTCATAGTTGTTGGACTACAGTTCCCATGATGCCATTGGCCCTGCTGCAAGGGGTGATGGGACTTGGAGCCCAACAACATTTTCCCTTTTTTTCCCTACCCCTAGTTTAGGGTTGCTACCTTTTCTGGCAAGAGTCCTGTGCATTTAGCAGCAGCTAGTAAAATGGAAATTCAAAAGACATTGTTTCTCCAACATGTAGCTGTAGGGCTGGTGGTGGTTTAAACTGTTTAACATGAATCTGTATACAGTTTTGTAAGCCGACAAATTCTTATAGTTTATTAACAATTCAGAAACAAGAGAGCTGCATCATTCTACAGCAAACACAAGAAAAAGGGTAGTTTTATTTTTAAACAGTGGCCCTCTG